AGTCAAAACAGCTCAAATTTCTAATATACACAAATGTATAATAAATAATCTGAAGGGTATGTTGAGCTGAAACTTTACAGACACATTCTGGAGACACAAAGGACTAAAATCTTGAAATCTATCGATCTTAAATCTTGAAAAGGGGGTAAAATAGGTGCCCTTTAATGGAAAGAAGATTTTTTTCAACACATTTATAAACATAATAGTTTTAATAACTGATTTATTTTATTTTTGCCATGATGACAATACATAATATTTTACTAGATATTTTCAAGTTACTAGTATTCAGCTTAAAGTGACATTTTAAAGGCTTAACTAGTTTAATTTTACACAGCTGACGCCCTTCCAGCTGCAACCCAGTACTGGGAAACATCCATACACACTTATAAACTATGGCCAATTTAGTTTATTCTGTTCACCTACAGCGCATGTCTTCGGACTGTGGGGGAAGCGCCCGGAGGAAACCCACACCAACACAAAAAGAACATGCAAACTCCACACAGAAACGCCAACTGAACCAACCGGCACTTGAACCAGCGACCTTCTTGCTGTGAGGCGACAGTGCTAACCACTGAGCCACTGTATCGGTAAGGCAGCAAATATGTTGGTCAAAGTCAAAATGTACACATCTTTCCCAGGCCAGCAAAAAGAAAACATATACATCCGTCCATACGAGTACCGTTGAACATAACGTTAGTCACGGAAAGAGCCTTGATTGCAATTCTTTCTGATTGCATGACACATCAATTGCATTCACTCGATCTAAAACATAAAGGCAAACTACAGCCAATGAAACAGACCCTAAGACCACTCTCAGGTTTCACAGCCCCAATCATTTTCCAAACCACTACCAAAGAATGAGGCTGCGGTCTATATTTATACATAAACGTGGTCCTCTCACACAAACTATGCATATATGAACATGAATATACTCGGGTTACATTTGCGGTTCGCTCTCGAAAAGAAAGAAGTGGTTGATTTTTGGACGTCTGCAGCTTGTACAAGTTAGACTGTAAAAACGTCTCTCGTGTACTGTGTGTAATTCTACACGACCTTGACAAGACTCTGATCCTATTTGTGTGATCCGTGTATAGATTATACATTAAAAGGCAAGCCTGAACTCTCATAGAGCTGAACTCAATGAACTCTCTAATACACATAGTGTTCCTTCGGTTGGAGCCAGAGTTTGTCATACTGTAAAAATAGGCCCGCTTTAACAGTTTATCTTTGCCATCAGTCAAAAGCGTCCCACTGAGCTGTCATTATTGCCCACAGTGGTGACAGGTTTGTGCCCCTGGAGCATTTGCAGGATTACAAGAAAACCCATCCACGGGTCAATTCTGGAGGGCACATATACCAGCGATATATATTCATACTATAGGTCTGCACAGTATATCAAAAAAATATTGTTATTGTGATAAATAAAAGTAAAGTTGAAGTCAAAATTAATCGCCCTCCTGTGAATTTCTTTTTCAAATATTTTTTAAATCCCAAAGGATTTTTTCACAGTATTTCCTATAACGTTATTTTCTTCTGGAGAAAGTCTTATTTGTTTTATTTTGGCTTAATTAAAAAAAAAAAAAACATTTTAAGGTCAAAATTATTATCCCCCTTAAGCTAGATAATTTCCCCCATTCTCTACAGAGCAAACTGTTACGTTTAGAAATGTTTTGAACAATTTGGGGAAAAAAATGTACAGGGGGGCTAATAATTTATGAGGGCTAACAATTCTGACTTCAACTATAGGTTGTTCATCCAAATCGGACCAAATCTGAATAAGTTTAGGCCTATCTTTAGCCCCACCACCCCAGTTGGTGCTGTTAGCTGAACCTAGAGCTGAAAATAAATACTAATGCTGGAAGACAAGAGAGGAAAATGACAACAACCCATAAGAATTTCTGCCAGTTTTTAGTTGTTCATGGGCTTTTAACGTCTAAATATTTGCACATTGATATAGCTTTTTAGAATTTGTTCAGAAAAATATATATTACCTGTTTATTTTAGTGTGATCGTAACCAACAAATTATTTAAAAACAAGATTTCTGATCAAGTTCAAAAGAAATATTGTTATTGCAGCACAACAACAATATGGCATATTGCAATTTTAGTATTGTGTGTAGTATTATGTAGCCCTAGTTAATTTCATTATTCATCTGATGGTATCATACATTTTTGTGTATGGGAACCGCAGCACATGATGGAGATCCTTTTAGGGATAGGGATACTAGCATACTACAGAATCTCCCATTGAAGATTGTATAAAATAGTTTTTTTAATGATACATAAAAAGGAAGGCACCTTTTTTTAATGCAATTTTTATTAAATAATAAATTAAATTATTATTAAATATAATTATAGGCCCATCTGTAATATTTGTTCACAGTATTTCCTTTCTTTTCTTTAGAAAGTATTATTTCTTTTAGTTTGGCTGGAATTATTATTATTATTTTTTTTCAAACTGCTAAGATAAATATTATTATTATTATTATTATTATTATTATTATTATTATTGTTGTTGTTGTTATTAAAACTTTTTAGAAATATGTTTAAAAAATATTTTCTCCATTAAACAGCACATGGTAAATATTTGAGAAATATATATAATGTTTTGATTTGGGGATCAAAGACAAAAATAGTTATGCTATATACATTTATAAAAATATAGACAAAAGTCTCTAAATATATGCAAAAGAAAATGACACAACAATTAAGATTATTTACATTTTTTTCGTTATTTGTTTATTTATTCAATCTATTATTTGTAGTATAATACAAAACTCACATTTCCATTAAAGAGCAATCTAAATTTAACTTTAATTATTATCTATAATTATCTATAAATTATCTATAAATTTAATTATTAACTATAATTATTCAACTTTAATTATTATTATATTTTTATATCTATATACATGTTTTAAGTATTAAAATTTAAATCAAGTTCTATAAAATTAGTTACAATTATTGTAAATGGAAGCCTAACAGATATCAAACTTTTAGGCAGGTGTCTCAGAGTATTGGTCAACTGGCTGTGCAAAAGTCAGAGTACCTGCGGGTTCTGCTGCAGTCCCTCACAAGCACAGCTCATTAAAAAGTTAGCGATCAGACCGACACTCACACAGGGTTTGCAGCACAGCAACACATACACTGCTGAAACTGTCAAACCACATGCTTCTTGTCTTTTCTTTTTGTCAACATTTGACCCTCTAACAATAGCACTATTACATTTCTATTCTATGTATTCCTATTCTGTCTACCTTTCTCTTACTCGTTATTAAAATAAAAATCATGCTTTGTGTATGATGTTAGACTCACTGTAAAAAACGCTGGGTTCAACACAATTGATTTGCTAATTGCTAATTGATTTTTACTAAATTAGGTAGAGTGAAAATAAAACAATTTTTTTTTTTTAAATAAAATAAAACAAACTCAAAATATCTCACAATTTCTCAAAACAATCTCAATAATTGTGTTGTTTCAATGAGTAGATAGACTAACTAACTAGAACTTGTCACAGAACTTCAAATCAAATCGAGTTTTATTGTCATTTTGCTACATGTGTTGACATACAGTGGGACGAAATGTCATGTCTCACGGTGCTACACAAATAAACAATCAAAAATATGAAAACAACACTGGACGTAAGAGCTACATTCAGTGATGATTTATAAACAAATGCTGGGAGGAGAGTGAGCAGATGTTTCGACAATTCTAATTCATTATTGACAATCACTGTTTTATCCAATCAGCATAAGACCAAACCCTCATAAATATCAAGCTCGTCCTACCTCCATTATCTCTCGCCTTTAGCATATAACAAACTAATATCTGCTTTTATCTACTAATATCTATACTTTTCATTAAATCAAAGATCTGTAAACGCACATAAACACATAACTAACATACTGGAGCGGTAATCTAGCTAAACTAACTACTGACTATGCATATATAATACATACTTAACTATACAAGGAGAGGTATTTATGGTTTAAGAAAACAAGCAGTGCTACGTTATTTGTGATACATTCACAAGTAAACATTGTTTTCTTTATTGAGTGCTTGTAAGATGAAGTTTAAGAAAAGTGTCTGGTGCCTATGGGGAAATAAATGTTTCTAGAGGTGGTTTGTCAAACCCACTCACCTGTGTGAGGCACACTCAGATACGCATGTAAAGTGCTTGGTGCATATAGAGACAGGAGTGTGTCTACAGGTGGTTTGTCAAGCCCACTCACTTGTGTGAGGCACACTCTGATATGCATGTAAAGTGTCCAGTGCATATAGAGACAGGAGTGTGTCTACAGGTGGTTTGTCAAACCCACTCACCTGTGTGAGGCACACTTTGATATGCATGTAAAGTGTCCAGTGCATATAGAGACAGGAGTGTTTCTATAGGTGGTTTGTCAAACCCACTCACCTGTGTGAGGCACACTTTGATATGCATGTAAAGTGTCCAGTGCATATAGAGACAGGAGTGTTTCTATAGGTGGTTTGTCAAACCCACTCACTTGTGTGAGGCACACTCCGATATGCATGTAAAGTGGTTGGTGCATATAGAGACAGGAGTGTTTCTATAGGTGGTTTGTCAAACCCACTCACTTGTGTGAGGCACACTCTGATATGCATGTAAAGTGGTTGGTGCATATAGAGACAGGAGTGTTTCTATAGGTGGTTGGTCAAACCCACTCACCTGTGTGAGGCACACTTTGATATGCATGTAAAGTGGTTGGTGCATATAGAGACAGGAGTGTTTCTGTAGGTGGTTTGTCAAACCCACTCACCTGTGTGAGGCACACTCATGCATGTTTTTATAGAAATGGGGAGTGATTGTAAAGTGTCTGGTGCAAGCGTCTGAAAAAGCATCAGAGATGAAAGAGTGTGTGCAGTATACTTGATTGCTTTTATTGTTCTAACTTGAAAAGTAAAAGTGAACTAAAATCGTTTAATGTAAATAATTAATTGACTATAGGTCACTGATGAAAAAAATAAGGAAAAGCACTCACTTTATCTCCACTGGAGTAGAAGAAATACCGCAGACGGACGATGTTACAGTGATCGAGTTTCCTCATGATCTGTAACTCACGATTCTGGTAAAAATAAATAAATAAGCATCATGAACACTCACATCAAAATGGTACATGTAAACTTAAAATAAGGCTTAATATTATAGTTAAATATATTTTTAAAAATAATAATTTAAAAGAATAGTCCCCCTTCATGAAGCTTTAAATGTTGCTAGTTTTTATTCGAAGACTTTTACAAAGAATTTGTGTTTTGTTGTGTTCTTCATAATATCTTCAAACGATCAACAGCTCTTTTCTCTTTACTGAAAGTGCTGGAATACTGTATTTCCAAAATATTCAGTAAGGAAAAATAAATAAAACTCATAATTTTAGCTCCAGAAAAGACAGAATGTTCTGCTAACGTTAGTATGCATATGTTTTACACAGCGGATGCCCTTCCAGCTCCAACCCAGTACTGGGAAACACCCATACTCTCTCACATTCACACTCATACACTATGACCAATGTAGTTTATTCAATTCACCTATAGCGCATGTCTTTGGACTGTGTGGGAAACTGGAGCACCCGGAGGAAACTCACGCCAACACGGGGAAAAAGCAAACTCCACACAGAAGATGCCAACTGGCCCAGTCAGGACTCAAACCAGCAACCTTCTTGCTACCTCGCTTTCCCCACAAGTCCAAAGCCATGTGGTATAGGTGAATTGGGTGAGCTAAATTGTGAGTAAGTGTGTATGGGTTGCAGCTGGAAGGGCATCCGCTGCGTAAAACATATGTTGGATAAGTTAGCCGTTCATTCTGCTGTGGTGACCCCCATTTTGATAAAGGGACTACGCTGAAAAGAAAATGATTAAATTGAAATTGGGAAAAAAATTAAACAGGGGGGCGAAAAATTCAGGAAGGCTAATGATTCTGACCTAAACTGTATGTAGGTCTACTGTTGGTTAAAATGCTCAATATTTAATAGACCTAATTAAAATTATGTTTGAGACATTTGCTCACAATCTGTCATTGACAACATTAATAGACCACAGTAACAGCTCACGTCACGCGTGATTTCGCGGCCGCGAATACATCATTACATGACGACAGAAATTATATTTTTGGGTGAATTATACCTTCTAAATACAGCATGTGACATTTTTAACACTTTTTGGAGGTGTCCACGTTGCTGAGCAATGTATGTAAAACAATGTGAAGACTTGTGTGGCTGCCTTTGCTTCTCTCCTGAACTTGAAAATATGCTTGGCAGAATCATAGGAATGCTGGATTAAGATCGTCTAGGGAGTCGTATTGAGATCGCAGTCTTTTTTCGATTAATCGTGCAGCTCTACAACACACATTCTTACCTTAAGATATTAGAGAACGCTTTTATTCAGGACACATTTTAAGGAGGAATTTCTGGAGGAATATTCATCATTAATCAAACTAAAGGATTGTACATGACTCTTTTGGGTGTTGTAGTTATTTGTCAATGAGTGTTTATTGAGAAACCGATGATTGCGTGTTATATATTGTATATTTAGTATAGTTTTTGCTATGTTCCACACAATTAAATCATGTTGTTGTCCCAACACAAATCGATTAAGTTACCTGGACTGAACATAAACCAAATAAGTTGTACCCAAAAAAATCTTTAAAAATGTTTTGTTTTCATTTTAAATAAGTAGTTAAACAAGCAGCAGGTGTTATTTTTGAGTGTATAGCCAATGCTGGTGATATGGCATTAAAACATAAATAAATAAATAAATAAATAAATAAATAAATAAATAAATAAATAAATAAATAAATAAATAAAAATAAATAAATAAATAAATAAATAAATAAACATTCTTACCTTAAACCTTTTATCCTGCAGCACCTTCTTTATGGCCACCAACTCGCCGGTGTCACAAAGCTTGGCCTGATATACGACCCCAAATGAGCCGTTTCCAATGACCTTTGTGTCCGTATAGCTGACCTCCTGAGGCCGGTCGGGACCCTGACCGGGGGTCGCGGCCACTGTCGTCACCTTACTGCCGTCTTTATCTCCTAAAGAGACAGGAGAAAGTACAATGAGCATGAATATTCCTTTGTCATTCGCTGGTCGCTTTAGGTGTTACTACGCTCATTAATGGTTAATCCTACGTGTATCAACATTCACCTGAGCTCATTTTCGAGTTAAACACATCCGCTTCACACCTCGTCATGTTCTCACACCCCTGAGTAAGCGCATTACAATGTGAAAATGAAAAATTTGAATAGATACATTGGGAATTATACTGTCTTAAACTCACCATTTCTTTTTAAAACATTTTTTTAATACCATTCAAATGTGCTTCCAATGTACTAAACACATTGAAGTCAGAACTATTAGCCCTCCTGTATTATTATCCCCTTCTATATTTTCCCCAATTTATGTTAAACTGAAAGAAAAAAATGTTCAATATGTTTCTAATCATAATAGGTTTAATAACTTATTTCTAATAACTGATTTCTTTTATCTTTGCCATGATGACAGTACATAACGTTTCACTAGATATGTTTCAACATACTAGTCTTCAGCTTAAAAAGGCGTTTAAAGGCTTAACCAGGTTAATTAGGCAAGTCATTGTAAAACAGGGGTTTGTTCCGTAGACAATAAAAAAATAAACAATAATAAAAAAACAGACTCATTGTGAACATGTATCCAGGTTTTCGTTTCTGAGGAAATTGAAAACATAAGGGGCTCTATTTTGTCGGTCCATGCACAAAGCGCAGGGTGCAAACGCTTTTAGGGTGTGTCAGAATCCACTTTTGCTAATTTAAGGACAGAAAAATCCGCTTGGTCTAAAGTGGTTGATTTGATTTTCTCAATGAGTTATAGGTGTGTTTTGAGAATAAACCAATCAGAGTCTCATCTCCCATTCCCTTTAAGAGCCAGTTCCGTCGCACCATAAACGCATTTGCTATTTACATGACAGACTTTGTAAGTGGAAAAACTGAGCATTTCACTAGCAAGAAAACAGTTAAAGAGAGCATCTACAGCGCGAGAATGAGAGATAAGGCATCTCATAATCTACTTTCACTTTGCTCTCGTGGATAGGGAAACCTTGTATGCACAGACATCAATTAGCCTAAAAATAATTAATTTCATTTGATAAGCGAAAATATTTGTTTCAAAACTATTTCTAAATTCAGTTCTTATTTCCAGCAAACTAATAAATGAACAATAATAACGAAGTGTGCTCAAACAACTGAGTTATATCCAAATACACATGCTGTGCCCAATATGGTCTAAAACCTGACAGGTGGACAAATCTAAGCTTGTTTTTAATAAAACAAATTTTTGTGTGTGCTTTTTGATGATCTCAAATTTCTCTCTTGTGTCTTCTTCTCACATTAATCCACCAGAGGGCGCAATATACACTTCAGCTGACCAGGGGTGCGTTTTCCAAACAACGACATAACTCGTTGCTGAACTATCATAGTACGATGCATCGTTGGGGAAAAGAACAATGTAGTGACGAGTGTTTCCCAAAGCACGTAGTTTCTCTGTCGCAGATCCATCTTTTGAACCAAATTAGTTATAACGTAAAACGCCTAAAATGACGCTCTAGACAGGGTGGAGTAACAACTTCTTTAGAGAAAAAAAAAACATAATTTTTATGCAAATTATATTGTTTTACATGATCACACATTTTTAAAAAAATCCAATATTAGTTTTGGTAAAAACATGCACTCGTTTTCCATGTTAATATAAATTAGATATATATATATATATATATATATATATATATATATATATATATATATATATATATATATATATATATATATATATAAATGGCACATATAGATCCTATTTTTGTTTCCTTTACAAATATTACTGAAAATACTCCATATAAAATCACTTAGCTACCATGTATTCTAATCTCATAAACCATATAAATCGTTAATTGTTGTAGGTCTAATTTACAGTAGGCTTATTTATTAAGAAATAAAAAAACCCTACTTAAAATCATCATTATTATTATTAATATTATTATTATCATAATCATTATTATTATTATTAATAAGTAGGATATTGTTAAATTATTTGTGTTCTTTTTTTTAAGCTTACTTTTACAATTTGACACATTTAAATGACTGCAGAAATGTTCTGACCAACAGGCTCATGTCATATACAGCACAGATACATTTCTTAATAAATAACCTACTCTAAATTAAAAGCATTAACATATGCTATATATTTTTGTTTTCTCCAGCTTCGGATATGTAACGTAAATTCCGCTTTTAAATAATAGATCACATGCAGCTTTCGTCATGAGCCATGGCATAAATGTTTTCAAAGTGCACTGCGAAGGGAATGCATTTGTCGAAATGAAGATCGCTAAAACTAAACTGTAAAGATACTTTGAAAGCAAATCACACCTAAGAGACATGACTTTAATGTTTTTTTTAATCATTCCAAGTATAAATGTTGGAACATTCTAAATGAATAGAGCATGGGGGGATAACGGTAAATAGAACACAACCAGGAACAATGCGTCTAATTACAGCTGTAAAGGTGTAGTTGTAAGCGTACAAGTTTGTGATGCTGTTTGCGAATGCTTGTTGGAACGGCAGATTTGAGAAAACGCCAAATCAATTAACTATCTTTGTAACAACGAAACTTGCGACGTTAGTTATTGGAAACGCACCTCAGGCCAGCTTGCTATCGACTGACTGAGTGACCCACCCATCAACTTCCCTAAACCCAACCGATAGTGTTTTCAGAACACATCTAGAAAAAGAAAAGCCGTTGCGGCCACATGATTTTACCATGTCGTTTTCGGCCTGTTGTTTATGTTTATTTCATTTTTTGCTTTTGATTTACCTGGTTTGTGAAACCAATCTTCGAATACTGTCATCGCGGGTGCGTCTCAAGTTTGCTGACATACGCAACAAGCCCCTGGGCAAACTGGTAATACTGAAAAAGCCATCAATACAGAGGTAAGCGACCCGCTGGTAACGTGAAAAGGAACAGAAGCCATCGGCGGCATTATACCGCCCCTATGCTGTTTGTTTTAAAGACGAAATGCAGCTATACGTACCTCTGACTACATAATTCATGCTCTCCAGAAATGTAGACGGGTGCACATCCACAATGAGCACGTGCTGGAATAAATATTGCTTAAGGGGGCTAATAATATTGACCTTAAAATTAAAAACTGCTTTTATTCTAGCCGAAATAAACCAAATAAGACTTTCTCCAGAAGAAAATATTATAGGAAATACTGTTAAAAATTCTATGCTCTGTAAAACATCATTTGAAAAATATATTATTTAAATCCCAGGAGGGCTAATCATTTTGACTTCAACTGTATGTATGCATGTCTGAGAGTTCATGTGCCAGTCTGCAGCCAGACACTATTGGAATCAAGTGCACACAGAGTTGCACGTTCAGCACGATGAAATGTGATGAGTCAGAGGGCGTAAACACACACACACACACACACACACACACAGAATAATGAGCTAATAAAGATCTCTGCACACCAAACTTACGCAGCATGGAATTTTAATTGAGTCACGGCCCATTACTTACCCAGATCATCTCCTCATCCTGCTCCTCTGACACCATCCAGCTCACAAACTCACTAGTCATTTAGCAATTCAGATAAACCCAGGCATTTAATATAAGACAGCGCTTAGCTTAATCTCTCAGCTAACAGACTTTTCATCATGATAGCTCTACAGCATTAATCACATTATAGCTCACATACGAAAAGATCATCACTAACCGTCTGCAATGTGAAGAACAAATCAAACATTAGCCGATTATGAATAAACGTGAAGTGATTATGAATATCTAATCTACACATCATGCCTTATTTAATTGTTTTAATAATAATAAACATTACTCAGAACTTGAACAGAGAGAAAATATAGGTTGTGACGCACAGATGTTTAATGCATTTAATGGGTTGCATTTACGGATGCGATGATATTAAAATCCTGGCTAATACCAATAAGCTGATTATCATTTTTTTAATATACATTTATATACAGATACTTATATATTGCTGATTGCTCATATATGGTTTTTACATATAATTAAAAACAACTGAAATACAGTTAAATATAAAAAGCAGTCATTTTAAATGCTAAACAGCTATCACAGCAGTGCAATACGAGAAACTAGTTTTATTCATTCATTACTTTTCATACGGCTTAGTGACTTTATTTATCATTTATTCACACACATATACTATGGCCAATTTCCTTTTTATTTAATTCACCTATAGCGCATGTCTTTGAACTGTGGGGAAAACCGAAGCACCTGGAGGAAACCCACGCTAACACGGAGAGAACATGCCAAGTCCACATAATGCCAACTGACCCAGCTGGGACTTGAACCAGCGACCTTCTTGTTGCAAGGCTGACTGTGCTAACCACTGAGCCATCGTGCCACCCTAATTATATTTAAGACTTATTAAATATTACATTTAACACCATTATCCAAATTCTTTACACTTTATACTATCTTAAATTTAAACATATATATTTTAAAGAAATAAATACAATTGTTCTGCTAAACTAATCAATAGGGACAATAAAAACAACAAATTTTGAAATTTGTGTTATAATATAAATATTAACTAAACTAATAAATATAAATGAACACAGGCTCATTCTGAAAATGTAGTCCTGTAGACGTTTCTGGAGATCGCATATGATGTAGCCGGAGGTACGTATGGCTGCATTTCATTTTTAAAAAGCTACGAAGCGGTATGATGCCGTTCCTTTTCGCGCTTACCAGCTGACAGCTAACCTCCGTGTGGAGAGCTTTCCCGCTGCAACCAGGTTCGAGTCCGGGAAAGAGCGGTTCCAGAAATCAGGTAAGACAAAAACAGACTCCAAAAAATAAAGTGAACAAGTGCATAACAGCTTTTCTTTTTCTGGACAGTTTTTGTAAATCGTCGGTTGGGTTTAATGAAGTAAGCGGGTGGGCGGGTCAATAGATAAAATTGGTTGGGTTTAGGGAAGGAGGAGGTGGCTTGGTCGATTGGCATGTCGACTAGTCGGCC